ACTCATAGCAACCCTATATATAACAGCCCTAAACCCTGCTCTATCCTGTGCCAATCACACTGCCTCTGACACACCCATCCCGATTACCCCAGTCACTGAATCAATCCATCTCATAGAGGGTCTTCCCCTCTTGCGCAAGAATATAGAATGGCAAAAGAAATACACTGCTATCTTATGAACTTTGTGTACCTGGACAACTTACTGAACATCTAAAAAGAAAACAAATACTCAAAGACTGTACTGACTGAGGACAAAGCACAGTCATTCTGTAAAGAAGACAAGAAGAAGCCTGGAAAACAGCAGGTACTCAGTAACTATTATTCCCTCAGACTTCTCTCTAGAACAATCATAATATTCTAAACACGTCACACAGGTGAGATGCCAGCATTAGCTAGAAGAATGCTGCCAGCAATCCTCTTTAAGATGCAATGACATAGTCAATTTATAAAAAGAAAGGGTAGTGACATTGAAAATAGTTTCATTTTGATACATTTCATTGATATCCAGAGATTAAGTTATTAAACTTAGGGAGGTGTGTGGTGTTTGTTTTTTTAAAAAAGTCATTAAACTTGGGCTGTATTATCTAATAGTCATAGAAATGGAAATGAAAATAAGGATGAAGTAATTGATATCTAGCTACCTAATCAAGAATAGAATTGTGTGTGTTATAATTTAATAAATACGCAGAGCTACTTTGGTAAGTGACAACAGTACCTACCGCTTTAATTCCACAAATTACTGTAGTATTTCCTAGCTTCACTAAAGCAGAACCATCTGCTGTACTGATGGAACCTGAAAAGATAAATATTTAGGTAAAATGAAAGCATTTTTTATTCAAAAAATAGCTATAGAATTGTCTATAATATAGCTAAAATTAAGCATTCATTTCCATATTCTAAATATAGTCTTCATTTTCCACATATCTATAGTTCATAACTATTTAAAATTACTATTTTAACAAATATTTGCATGTTCTTCGCATCTGAATGCATCTGAATTTGAGTTAATAATTTCTCATTCACAATCACAGGACTGTTGTAGAGACCTCATGGAAAGACATCATTCCATTTCTTTAGATGTGGTTAAGATGAGGCTGAACTATGTTTAAGAGACTCATAGGGCGGAATTTAGGAACACATACAGTTCAAATGAGAAAAATCGGTATTTGTAACAGGAGGGTTTATTAAGAACTAGTCACACAGAGGAAGCTCTGGCGGCCTCGTCTGTAGGAGCCGCAGTGCTCACTCGAACATGGGGAATCTTGCCATCTGAACCCACCGGCGACCCCTCAGCAGATGAGCAATCTCCTCCCATGTGATTTACAGTCTGAAAAACCCGATGGATGATCAGTTATGAGACGCTTCCGACTTAATGACAGTGAGTGAGAGTCACATAAGAAAACAAGTCTTTATGGTTTTGAAGGAAGGAAGATAAAAACAGGCTCACTGTTGTTTTTAGGTATGACTAGAACCCCCCTGTTGACTACAGATCTGAACCCCATCCTATCCTGTGTCTTCCTCACACTTCCTGCCACACTGGAACCCTCTGTGGCAGTTACCATGTCCATCCACCTGATCGAGGGGCTTCCTCTTCTTTGCCGACCCTCTACCCTTCCGAGCATTATGTCCCTCTCCAATGAACAGCGTCTTCTAGCATCATGCCCAAAGTACATGAGTAAGCCAAAAAAGGCTTAATAGTTACTCTGAAATTTAATCAAACAAGAGGGTTTCTCATTTCTCATTCAGTCAACTCAACACTGAGCTGATTCCCATGCACAGTGACCCTTACAGGTCACAGTCAAAATGCCAGAGATCCCCAAGCTACAAAACTTCTTTTTCACAGACCTTCTCACATTTCTCCTAAGGAGTAGCTAGGGCATTCCGAATGCCAGCCTCTGAGACTCTGAGTCTGCAGCCCAGCACTAAGGCTCTATGCCACAAGAGTTCCCTACTGCTCCATCAGAGCTCCTTAGGGAAAAGGTGGTCCGTCAAAAAGAAAACTAGCCATATAGACCCTCTAGTATCCAATGAAGCCCAGATGATGCAGGTGCTCCTCAAGACAAAGGCTTCCTCCTCCCACGCCTTGGAAACCCAGCGGAGGGTCAGCCATGAGCTGGGTCTGACTAGCCTTCCACTCACAGCACTGCTGCTGTTAGGTGTCATCAGATCACCCACAACTCACAGTGACCCTGGGAAAAACAGATGTGAACCTCTCCTGTGCCATTCTCAGTGTCTCTTGAGATACACCTGAGCCCGTTTTTACAGTCAGTGTCAATCCGTCAGTGAAATACTAAGAGAAACTCACTCATTGCCACTGAGTTAGAATCACCTCATACCTGACCGGCCAGATGGTTATTAGAGGACGTAAATCGCATGGCAGGAGACTGCCCATCTTTCTCCCACAGAACCTCTTGCGGGTTCTAATAGCCAGAGAGGTTTGGCCTTCAGCTTGGCAACACCAGCGCTCCCAATGCGAGTGACTGGTCTTCCAAAACTAAGACAAAAAATATTTTAAGAAGTAATTAAAGTACCTTCAACATCCTATTTTAGAACTCACAATATCCTCACCTATGTTGACAGTGGTGGTTCTGAATTCACCAAGTTCTCTTCCGTCTGGACGGCAGTTCTCTTTCTAAATAAAAATGTTTATTTATGAGAAAATATATAACAGTATGTACATATATGTGTTTTACACACAATCAGGTAAAACTCCTTAAACCATGTTAAGATAAAAATAAATTCAAATCCACCATACAATAAACCAACTCAATTTCATAGATATTTATAGGCTAATGCACCCCAAAAAAGTACAGTACACCTTCTTCTCCAATGTGCATGGAACATTCTCCAGAATAGATCACATTTTAGGTCACAAGGCAAGCTTAATATATTCAAAAACATAGAAATAAAAAATAAATTCAAAACCAATTAATTACTTAAATTCTTTCAAATTTGTCCTTTTGAAAAGAAGCATATTATCAAAAAGACATTACTTACCAAAAATCTCCTGTAATATTCCAGCGGCTCCACAGTTCTGAAACAGACAAATTAAAACTGTAAATTAATGAATCCTGACATAAATCCAAAATTCCAGCCAATCTGCAAAATCTCTTTCATGACTTCTTTTGTTTATGTTGTCAGTTATCTTTAAGCCTGGATGGGTAGTACTAATCAAATAGTTTAAATCTACTGGCTATTTCCTGAAAGGAAGATGGACAGCCTCCTTCCATAAAGATGGACGACCTTAAGGAAATCTGGTGGCCTAGTGGCAAGAAGCTGAGCTGCAATCCCAAAGGTCCACGGTTCAAATCCACCAGATGCTCTGCTGGTGGAGGAGGAGCAATCTCCTCCTGTACCAGTCAGATCCTATTTGAAGGTACACATACACACAAAATAGTAAAATTAAGAAAGAAAAAAATATTTACAAGCTTAGAAACCCATAGTGGGGTCACTGTGAGTCACAATTAACTCCAGGGGGTTTAGGAGCAATTGTTCCTCTTCACCCTTGTCAAATAAATGCAGATGAGACCAAAACATGCCATTTTTGTTCTGTAGCAGTGATTTTTAACATAGTGAGCATGAAAAAGGTTACATGTTAATTTTCATTATCTCGTAAGTGATACAATTATTGGGTGGGGAGCCAATATAATGTTAGCAGCGCCAGGAACTTATTTTCCTTTTACATTTTGGTTGTGAGGTGGTGATGATGGGACCTTTACTCTCACCATTAGTTTAAAAGTATACTAGTTACCAGATCTACAACTAAATCTTTGTCTTTAATGCACATGTAGGGAAGCTCTGGTGGCCTAGAGGCAAGAAGCTGCACTGCAATCCCAGAAGTACGCGGTTCCAGTCCACCAGATGCTCTGCTGTTGCAGGAACAATATCCTGTACCAGTCAGATCCGATTTGATAGTACAAACACAATAATTTTTTTTAAACCGCACATATATGAATGGTCAGCTATGGGTCAGTTCCGACTTGATGGTAAACACCACCACATATTGCTGTATAGAGAACTCTGTACACAAACACCTAAGTGCATTTCAAGGCAAACAGCTCCCTGTGGTGGTGGCGGCCATGTGCTGTCCAGTCGGAGGTTCACAGCTGACCTTTCAGCAGCTTTTCTGAGGCTGCAAACTGCAAGTGAGGCTCGCCCCTCATTCTCCCGCGCAGCCGCCGGTGGATTGCACCCACGTGAACACACTCTCTCCCGCAGTCACAGCTTCACCAAGACAGCACACACAGGTGCGACTAAAACCTTCGGAACTCACGGCCCTGGACTAGATCTCGGCTCATGTCGACCCATAAGACAGAGCAGAACGGCCCGTCACTGGTTTCGGAGACTGTAAGTAAGTGGAGAAGCCTCTTCTCCCATATCTCATCCCTCTAGGTCCGCAGCCCAGCGCTTCCCCGCAACTGCATCCCAGAGCCGCACGGGAAGCAGATGCAGTAAATTCCGATAGATGACCACTCGGTCCGGCGTCCACACATCCACGACAAGCGCTTGCAGTGGGTTCCGAACCCTACGCACCGAGGATCCCCCTCCAGCTTCCCTCCCACCCGGCTAAAGCGCGGTTCCTTCGCATCCCAACCACGCAGGTCGCCTGCTCCGGCCAGGAGAGAAGTGACCCCCCCGGCGGGGACTGCGTCCAGGTGGGAGATTAGCTCCGGCGCTAATCCCGATCGATACCCGAGCCTTCGGCTGCCATGCCCGCAACACACAAAACTCCCGCCGCCCGCCCGGAGCCCGGCACTCACTTGAACCCGGCTGCCATCTTGCCCCCGCGCGCGCGCTCGCGCCGGTTCCGCCTCCGCACTTTCGACGCGGCCGCCGGCGCCCCGCCGCGCCGGGAAGGAAGCAAAAAAGGGCACCCGCGGCCCAGGTCCTCCCCAGCCCGCAAACTTCTGAAATCTCTAGCCAGATGCCCCTAGAATTTTTTCTTGCCTTTGATGTGTTGTAACGAATCTCCGAATACAGAAATGAAGAGGCGTCCCGCTTTAGAAACATGCTGCTGCTGGTTTCCAGGAAAGCTGAGATTTTAAAGGGAAGCTCAGTGGTCGGCAAAGAATCGAACGTGAAACGTCATTCGGGTGTCTCTGTGACCTCTCCTCCGGGTAAAGTGCACCATGCTCCAACACGAGACATGTTGTTATGTGCCTTGCGACTCATAGCGACCCTATGTACAAGAGCTCTAAACCCTGCTCTATCCTGTGCCACTGGCACTGAGATAATGCACGAGAGATAATGCATGAATTTTAAACGCCGTCGTAAGGCACACTGCACATTATAACCAGACCTGCTGCCATTAAGTGGATTCTGATCCCTCGCGACCCTGGAGGGCAGTCAGAAAACTGCTACAGCGATCCCAAGTCCGTAGATCTTTACGAAAGTTGATGGCCACATTTTTCACTCTCTAATCGATAAGATAGATTGATTCAGCGACTGGGGTAATGGGGGAGGTGTGTCAGATACAATAAGGTTAGCACAGGATAGAGCAGGGTTCAGAGCTGTTGTACACATAGAAAGAGTTGCAAGCGGCAGGAGGGCACATAACAGCAACGATGGGTTTGAACTCACCGAAATTTAGTTAGCAGTGGAATACCTTAACCACGCGCCACTAGAGCTCTTTAACACGTTGCCGCAAATGACGGCAAAATGTGTTTCTAAGCGAGTTCGTCAATTTAAAAGTGTGCGGCAACGTATTAATCCTCACCAAGCTATGCTTTTTTGCACAATTACAGAAAGTTCTAAGGAAGCAGTTTTGTTGTTATGTGCTTGCTGTTCGGTCGGAATCACTCATAGCGGACCCTCCAGTGCGTGGTTAATAGCGAGGGAGGAGATTGCTCATCTTTCTCCTGCGGAGTGGCTGTTGAATTGGAATCGCCTGCTTCGGATTGGCAGCACAACCCTTTACCTCTAAGTCACCAGAGCTTCCTTGTGTAATCGCCACCATGCTCACAGGGTGGCCAGATAAAACAGGACAAATTCATTGCAATCCAGTCAATTCCAGAGCTGCTCTTCGTGGGTCCTGTCAAGCTGACAACGACTTGGGGGCCCTATGAACAGCAGACCTGAGTCTTACTTTATCCTGCGGCAGCCTCATGATCGGGTCATACTCAAGCCCATTGTCACAGTGGCAACACATCCCACTGAGGGGCTTCCTCTCCTCTGCTGAGCCTCCCTCTTTCCCAGCATGATGCCTCTAAAAATTGGTTCATCCTGAAAATATGACCAAGTAAATGGACACATTTTCACTATCCTTGTCTCAAGAAGCCACTCTGGTTGGGCATCTTTCAAAACAAATGTGTTTGTTCTTTTACCAGTCCATGGGGTACTTTGCCAACACCACCATGCAAAAGGCATGGATTCTCCTGCAGTCTTTACCATAGTCATTCTTCCACTTTTAGATGCATGGGAAACCATTGAAAATACCATGACTAGGACCTTGGATGCACCATCGTCTTTAAACTGACATCCTTGCTCTTTAGCACTTAGAAGAGATCCTTGACATCATATTTTCCCACTGCAACAAGTCTTTTCATTTCTTAACTGAGGCTCCCATGGGTGTTAGTTATGGCTCCAATTAAGATGAAATCGTTGACAACTTCAGTCTTTTCTCCATCTATCATGATGTCTGCGACTCGATGGCACTTAACAACAATAACATCAACAGAGAGAGAAAGAGATCAGCTGGCCCAGCGAAGAGAAAACGATGTGACCAAGACAAAGGTGGGTGACTTTTAGTTCGTGGCCCTCAGGACAGTCTTTCATTGTTTTTGTTCAGACATTCCTCTAGGTCGTCTAGCCCTGGTGTACAAGTTCCCGTCCCGTGGTCACTTGTGGTTGCTGTGAGGATGAACACTGTGACACGGATGTGTCAAATGCGTTAATGGTTGGCTACAATGTGGACTGAGAGTGGGGTGGAGCTCCCCAATTGAACAAGCGTGGAAGGAGGAGTGGCGTCCACTTCCATAATAGCTTGCCTCTGGAAACCCTATGAACTTGGAGAGAGGATGAAAGGCACCCAAGCGTCAAGGATTCTCCTTCATAGGGTCGCTATGAGTCGCCTGCGACTCGACGACACTTAACAACAACAACAACAACAACAATCATGATGTTGTCTGTTGGCCCAGTGGTAAGATTCTTGTTTCCTTGATGGTGAAATGTAATCCATATTGAAGACTACTTTTTAATCTTTAGTAAGTGTTTTAAGTCTACTTTCTCCAAGTGAGATTGTGTCATCTACATGTGCAGTTGCTGTGCTAATTATTTGCTATGCAACAGAGAGTTGGAAGATGACTAAGGATGACAGAACAAGAATCAATGCCTTTGAGTTGTGGTGCTGGAGAAGAGTACTGAACATACCATCAACTGCCAAGAGAACAAACAGTCTGTCCTAGAGAGGATGAAAACAAGTTTTTTCTTGGAGGCTAGAATTTTGAGGTTTCATCTCACGTACTTTGGGCATGTGGCCAGGAGGGACCAGTCCTTGGAAAAGGACATCATGCTTGGAAGGGTGGAGGAACAGCACAGGGGAGGAAGAACGAAGCGGAGATGGATCAGCACAGTGACAGGGTAATGGGATTAGGTGTGTCAGAGACTGTGAGACTGGCTTGGGATAGGGCAGAGTTCAGAGATGTTGTGCATAGGGTCGCTGTGAGCCACAGGCGAAGCGAAGGCACCTAGCGACAACAGTAACCTTTGCTTTAGCAGCACAATTCCTTTCCACTAAACCACCAGCGCTTCCTAACATCGTTAACAACTGAGTTCTTTCTTACATGTGCCACCACGGCATTTTAAATGCCAGCTGAACAAGGAATTAAGTGTTATTATTAAAACTATTCTATTGCTGTTTGTTGTTATGTGCCCTCAAGTCTATTGCAACTCATAGTGACCCTACGTACAACAACCCTAAAACCTGCTCTATCCTGTGCCAATTTCACTGTCTCTGACACACCTATTTTCACTACCCCAATCAATGAATCGATCCATCTCATTGAGGGTCTTTCTCTCCTGCGCTGTCCCTCCACTTTCTTAAGCATGATGTCCCTCTCCAAGGACTGGTTCCTCCTTGCAACATGCCCAAAGTATGTCAGATGAAGCTTCAGAATCCTTGATTCCAAGGAGCATTCTGACTTCACGCTCTCCAGAATAAACCTGTTTGTTCTCCTAGCAGTCCATGGTATATTCAATATTCTCCAGAACCACAGCGCAAAGGCATCAATTCTCTATCATCCCTAGTCACTATTCTATTAAAAAGTTAACAATTACTGTTGTGGAAAGTGACTAACATCAGGGTTGGAGTAAGACTGAGAAAAACTGGATTATGTATACTGAATTGAAACAGATGAGGGAGAGAACAGTTTAAAAGTGATATATGATAGCATATTATGATTATCACATGAATCCAGAATTAAGGTTGCATAGTGGAGTGCATTTGGGGGGGCAGGGTCGGGGGCGGGGGGGATTGCATACCAACGAAAAAGTTTATCTTTTGCAAAGAGAGGAGCGAACTGGGGGGACGGGGATAAAGAAAAAAGTGCAACAATGAATGAATGAAAACCCAAAATCTCTGTAAATGTTCATTAAATTTTTTTTTTTAGTTTCTATTTAGAGTTTATTTTTTTTCCTATAATTATATTTTATTAATTTTCATAAACATTTACAGAGATTTTGGGCTTCCACTCATTCATTGTTGCACTATTCTCTCTACCTTCCTCCCAGTTTGTTCTTGTCCAAATGCCACAGTGCTTGTCAAAGCCAGTTCTGATTAATCTTCTTTGTCAGTGTATCCTTTGCCATTCCCTATCACTCCTCCCTGAGAGAGACTTCACCCTGAGTCATAAGGAAAAGGGGACGGCGTATTCTCTTAGCTACTTCCTGCTGAAAAGGGACGCTGTGGGTTTCAGGGTGAAGATCTTCTCTCACTACTCTAAAGGGCCCCTTTGGCAGTAGGAAACACATAGACTATTATGGAGATTGATTTTGGAATTCAGATGCACTCTTATTGATTGTGCTTGGCTGTACATGTACATATCCTTGAAGATGTATCATGATGTTAATAATTAGCTAAACCCCAAGTTGACGCGGGCTCACTATGAGCTTAGTGCTCTGGGCGCCTCTCCGCGCCTGCGCCTCCTGGCTCCGCCGCGTGGGGGCGCTGTGTGCGGAGGCCGCAGCCCCGCGCGGCCCCCCCCCTGCCCCTCTCGCCGGCGGGAGGCGGGCCCTTCGGCCTCACTTCCGCGTGTGTGTAGGGGCGGGATAGGGCGGCGGAGGCGGCCCTGGCGGCGGCTTGGCATGGAGGATGACACCGCTCCTGCTGCAGCTGGTGGTGCTCGGGGCGGCTCTGGCGGCCGCAGCCCTGATACTGGTGAGGACAGGCGCCGGGGACCAACGCGGCCGCGGCTCACCCCTCTCCCGGCTCCCTGATCGTCCCCTTCCCGCTGCCCGCTCTTCCTCCAGGCCGTGCTCCCGGAATTCTCCCAGCATTTCACTCCCTCCTCGCCGGGTCTCTCATTCTTCCTCAAAGGGCATTCCGTTGTTTTCCTGTTCCCCAAGCCCGGGTTGGTTTTCCCAGCCTGTCATTCCCGTCTTCGCCCCTGGTGTCCAGAGCCCTGCCCACCGCCCCGTCGCCTCCCACCTCCGGGATCCCTCCAAGCTGACAGCCTCTGCAGTTCTGCCATGTGCTTTCTAGACTCACTCTGATGCTGACGTGGTGAAGCAATAAAAAGTAGGGCCTGAGCGTGGACAGAAGGCCCCCGGGGACGGGTTGCAGTAAGTGAATGGATGGACAAGGCCAGCTAGAGACCCAGGATGGGCACTTGACCTTAAGGCTGTAGAACATCTCAGAATTAGACAGCCCATGTTTTTTTTCTGAGTTCAAACTCAGAAATTCTTTGCCAGGAAATACGGAAGCATTTTCAACATTTGCCGTTTTGGAAATAACAGGAGAATTGCCACGGAACCCTCCCCACCTGGCTTGGATAAAGCCTGCTATCTCCTTAGGAAATGGAGAAAATGTCATTCTTAGCATTCAGATTAGCAGCCTGCAGTGCACTGTCAGGATGGGACCTCACTGTGTGCAGGGAGTCAAGGGAGAGAGAGAGAGAG